CCTCTCTTTTGTTAGTAATTCCCTCTTCCCTCTTTGAAAGTTTCTCTGAAAGTGTGCAGTAATTTCTGATGATGGAAGAAAGAGCTCCTGGTGCCTCACCTGAGTAAGCAGGTTGCTACTGGCTAGCAGAGCTTTCCAGAGAACTCTTTGTTGGGCTGAACTCCCAGCTGGACATTGAGGCTAAGGAATGTAAGGGATTCAGGGAATCCTTGATTTTCTTTAAAGGAAAATAGCTGAGCTAGCTCCACCTCCATGATCTGCACCAGAACCCATAGCTAGAAGGGACTGCAGAGTTCACTCTGCTTTCAACTCAAACAAAACCTCACATACCCTATGGCTGCCACGAGTGAAGACTTACCAGCCCCATCACTGGCTAAGACTCCAGGTGGCTACTGTTTACACCTGGCAGCCTACTGGACTTCAACAACTCACTGGCACCACAGGATACCACCACCACTAAGGCTTTCAGTACCTATTCATTGCTACAGACTAAATGGCTTGATCTTGGATTCATGGAACAACCAACTAATACTGAATCATGTTATTTGATGCTGGAGAGAATGGAAAGATGCTCTTGTCCTTTAAGAAAAGTCTTGGCCTGTGAGGTAGTCATAGCATATTGGGAATGGGATGGGGAAAGAAGCATGCAAAGACAACTTGTGCAGCAGGTTCAACCCCAGACAACAGATACAATGCAATTTCATCCTGAAATGTAGCTGTTCAGGAGGACAATGATGATTTGCAGAGGAGCATAATGCTGAGCCTGCACTCCAGAATCTCACAGACCAGTGAGTCCCATACCCAAAGTACCATATTTATTAAAGAAATAGTTCTTATGCTGGCTGTATTCAAGACACTCTACCAGGTACTTAGAATATAATTGTAAACAAGGGAGATAAGGTAGATATCTTTGTGGAGCTCATAGTCTGGTGGGTCAGGCAGATGTACCCACAATGCAACCATCCACTGCCCTCCCATTCATGTGTTCACTTATTTATTCAAGGAACGTGGAAAGAATATATTCTTCCACTGTGTCAGGTCCTGGGTACACACTCCAGGGAATGCACAGTCCAGGGCCTCATCCTCATGGAACTTAGCATCCACCAGTATAGTGGTCAGGGTGTGATCTAACCCACACAGTTCAGGTGGCCAGAAAGGGGGAGGCCTTGCAGACAAGGCGGAGCTCAAGCACAGCCCTGAGGTCGGGTTGGAGCCTGCCCAGATCAGGAGTCTATCTCTGGTCCCTAACCCTATGCCCCTTCCTAGAACTCTTCAGAATTCACCAAGGTAAGGAATGATGTTTTCAGGGTCTAGGCTAGGCCACACAATTGGAAGGCCTTTCTAGATCACCATGAAGTTCTCCTCCTTGACATCAGTTGTGCTGTTTCCTCAGTATTGCTGAAGCTCAAGCAGCCTCATTCATGTACAGCAAATCATCTTCCCAGTAAGAAGACCTGACGACAAACCTGCACATTGACCGATACATCTAATCTTGGCCTCTTCCCCATTGTCTCTTCTCACTGCCACCTAGGGTCACAGCTGTGACTTCCTGGGAATAGCTTGAGCTTGGAGCAAAATGGAAAGAAGAGCCAGAAGCAAGTACAGACATTTAGGAAATAAAAGTTTCTACTCTATTTGTTGATGGGGGGCAGGGATGAAATAAGGGTCAGGTAAAAGAAAGAACACAGGATCCATTCACATCCCTCCCCCTCCCTGGTTTCAGTTTACCCCTCTGTTCAAAGTGGGGAATACACCCAGCCATTCCCCTATATCTTGCTTCTGTGACAGTGTGACCCTCCAGGTATCTAATAGTCTTCATTATTGCTACCATTTTTTTTTAGCACTTACTCTGTGTTGCCCAATGCTGAGCATTTTAAAATACCTTTCATCGTAGTTTTCCCAACTACCTTGTTGTGAAGACATTATTGTCCCCATTCGAAATGAGGAAACTGAGGCTCAGAGAGAGTATGAATCTTCAGTGAGGAGCTCTATGCAACAAGATCATGAATCCTTTGTAATGGCCCCTGGGAAACCTTTCTTTGTTCCATGGAATAAGCTCAAAAGGAAAAGGGCCTAAGATTTCCCTCTGGGCTTGGGCTTCAATCCAGGAAATGCACCCCCACCCCCAGTGGGTGAAGTTTCCTATTTTGTTTGAATGCCCTGGGAGTGACAGGACTTGACCAAGCTCCTGCCAGGAGGTGCTTGACTGAGTGAGGGAAAGGCTTAGACTTAGGGACAGACTCGTGGTTCTGAAAAGTAAGGCAGCTGGAGAAAGCCCTAGCTGTCTTCTAGCTCACATTTACATTTGTGAGCTGAGGGAAATAAGGCTGGGACTGGGGGAAAGCATCGTGTAAGGTCACGTGTAAAGCCAGAGGCTGCATGCTTGCAGGGCACAGGCCTTCCCTGTTGTCGCTGGCCCCTAAGACTCAACCTAAGCCCCAAGGGAGAATCCGGCCCCTTACCTCTGCCAAGCAGCCCCCACTACCATCCCATTAAAGCAACAATTAAGGAGCAGGCAGAGGCTCCAGCTCCATCGGGGCTATTATGTTCTCATCAGGAGCCAGAGCGGACTGGCCCAGGCAGTGAGCTCCAGCATCAAGGAAGGTGCAGGAAGGCATGCTCCAGCTCTGCACATGAGGAAGTGGAGGGGTACAGGACAGCTCAACCTGATGCTGCTGGTTAGAAAGCAGTGACTGGGACCCTGGCCTACTAGGATCAGGAAATGCTTGACACAGTGTGAAGAGCCAGGCAGAGAAGCCAGCTTGTTGGGTATTAGAAGCCTCCTGAATTCCCCTTGCCATCCCCTAGGCCTAGAAGAATGCTGAATTCTGGGCAGATGATACCCAGACCCAGGCACAGAGACAGGCTTGCTGGGAAGCCACTAGCAAGAGAGATCACTCTCCAAAGAGGGAGGCCAGAGAAGGGTGACAACTCTGCTCAGAAGAGGTGAGGCAGGAAAGGAGGAAGTAACCAAGGTGATCCAACTGGGGAGGAGCCTTTCAGAGGCTGAAGCGGAAGGAGGGGGTGGTCCTGGACCCCCTATAGCAGTGGCCTCAGCAGGCTGTTTGTTATCACTGAAAGCTCTAAAAGGTTCACATACTGCCCTACAGGGTCTGATCTAAAATATTTTATGTTAAATGAAAGTAGGAGGCAGGGCCCTGATCTGCAAGGACATAAGAAGATTCAAAGCATTAAAGGAAGCCTTTAGGACTTTAGGGTCCCCACCCCCCAAGTCTCTGGTTGGGGCAGGAAAGAGGTCCTTACTGACCTGCAGACCTTTTCTTCTCCATCCCTCTGGATGCCCAACACACCAGTTGAAATCTGGGGCCATCCAGTCTAGGCGAAGGTGACTCACTTGCCCTTCAAACCCCCTTTTCTTCTCCCCAGACATGAGAGGTGCCTGTTTCCTGGTGTTAGGCCCATGAGAGGAGCTATCCACAGCCCCACTCAGACTAATGGGAGGCTCAGGCCTGAGGATGAGGCAGTTTGGGGGATGTGAAACCCCAGAGCCCTTAGGGCAAGGACACCAGTTTAGCACTCCTAAGGGTTTGCTGGTTTGGGCCACCGCTGCCCCATGAGACAGAAAGTAGAGTGGGGAACAAGCCCAGCCCCAGATAGCTCTAAACAAGGTCTGCTTGGAGAACAAGGAGGGGTGGTGATCCTCAGGACACCAGTGCCTATTCAGTGTGGACAGGAAAGCGTCCGAGAGGAAGCACCCATGTTGCTGAACTTCACAGATCCTCTATGGGATAGGATTTTGAAAAGTGCAGGAGAGAAAAGATACTTCAACTTCTGAACAGGAATAACAGGAGTGGAGACCTAAAGACAACAATGGAAGATGCATTCATCAAACGGCAGAGGAAGGAATCAGCAGGTGGAGGAAGAAGAGGCTGCAGCCAGACAGAGAAGGGTGTCTACAGAACAGGAGGGACTCTTGGAGATGTTTGGATTATTCTGTCTTTATGGAGATAAACAAACTGGGTCCCAGAGAGGAGGGAGAGAGAGAGAGAGAGAGAGAGAGAGAGAGAGAGAGAGAGAGAGAGAGAGAGAGAG